AATCGACAATTTTTCAATGGAATCGAATTTCAAAATAATAGTACATTCTACCGACAAACTTCGTAAGGACCTTTACAAATTTGTCGCAAAAAAATCAGCGAACCAGTTGAAGATTCTTTTTCTTTTTTCTATATCGAAGTGTACATTTTTTATTGGTTTGAATTCTGAATGAATAATATTAAAAATGAAATGAGGGCGCAATTCGATGTTAAATGCTTTCTACTCCAGGACCTACATCGTGCTTCAGCTGGAAGATGCGAACACATTTAAACAAACAAAAATGACCGAAGAAGCGTTATGGGGTTAATTTAAAAAAGTGGACCAACTTCTTTCATATGACAATAAATTGTCAAATGAGAACACAAAATGCAAAATACATTGGGACTGCAATCAGTCAAATACCTACTACAAAGAACGCAAAATAGAAATTCTACCTAAACATTCAAGATACCTTTAATCGATTTGGCAGGTCATGATATGAATCATAACCCCTGATAACGGAACAACCCGATTTTAAGTATATTCTACATTTTAACCATATTTTTCGTACTAATTTTAGCTTATGTTGATAATTTAAGAAGAAACCATCTTTGCAAAAATTATCACGTTTTGGTATCACCATCATATGATTTAAGGTATTTTTGGGGTCTTGGCCACTTTTTTCATTTTTTTTGGCCCTTATTTGACATCTTTGTTTCTAAGGGGGAAGGAAACCTCTTCTTATAAAGTTTTATTTTTCTGAAAAGTGCGCATCTTAGTCTTGAGGCTACATGGGGTAAAAAACTCTGGGGTAGAAAATCATCTTACAGATAATTATCCCCATAGGAATTTATTTAAGTATAGTCCTCACATTAGTATACCCCCAAGTCCACTTTCCCAACCAATGTGTGGTCAGAAAGGAAAATTTGGTATTCTATTGAATTTGTAACCCCCAAGAGAATATTGGTTGGGAACGTAGATTTGGGATGTACGTCTATATGAAATAAACTCCGAAATGTCAATCTGGGACTCATTCAGTCGGAAATTGTGGCAGAAACATGAAAAAAACGAAATTATAAAGTAACTTTATTGGATCTCCACCGCACAATTTAAATGACAAACAATTAATGCCCATCTTACGGTAATCGGAGCAAAAGAGTATTTTTTTGGCTATTCTGACAACATTCTGCCTTCAAGTATGAGGTGGACAAAACTGAATACCACGCAGTACGTTGGAAATACAAATTTCAAATTATAGCTCATTTGGATGCTTTTTACCATATCAAAAATTGAGGTGAATTTTCACATGGGGCTATTATATATGTTCTTTATCATATAGGTATTTAACACTCAAATTAAAGCCTATAGCTGAAAAATAAGATCAGGCTATTCAAAATATCTAAAACCGACGGTAATTATAATTTTTTCCATGAACATTAATTTATATTTAGTCATGGAGTCATTACTCATAATCAAGTCATTACTTATAATCAAAATTGTGCCGCCTACATAAGACAGATCTGTGATTTATTATGCTTTAAAGACTAAAAGTACGGGCCGGCAACGCGGATCGGGCCATCTAGTATACTATAAAAATTGAAATCTAAGATGGCTGCCGGTACCCAATGGCTGATAACAATTTTTTATCAATTCCACCAATATAGGTATCAAATAAAAGGGCATGACAAGAAGAATACATTATACTATACAAGTTCAATATTTAAGATGGCGAAGACACTAAATGGCATATAATAATAAGATTTAAATTTAGAAATTACATCTGTAGTTCTGGTATCTGATTAATCCAGCCTGATTCCACCCCTCTATTCAAGATTTTGTATTTTGTGTGGCGTTAGGGTGGCTAAAATTGTCAACCGTTTAAATGTCCATTACTCGTGGGAACAAAATGGTACAAAAATATGAATTAAATAGAATGCGAAATGAAAACTAAAAACTAGAAAATAAAAAAATAGGTAAAACACTTTTAAGTTAAAAGGTTTTATGTTAAACATACATTGCAATGTTTAAGATAAATGTACTAAAAACCAAACAATAATAAAAAATAGATACAGTCGTGGGAATTATAAACATATGCATAGACTTGACTTAAATAAACCCGTGGGGCACGTCAATTCTCTACAATATGCATATGCAATTGAAGTGCCTCCCGGTTTTATTTTAGTTAAGTCTATGCATATGTTTATAATTCCCACGACTGTATCTATTTTTTATTATTTTTTGGTTTTTAGTACATTTATATTAAACATTGCCAAAGACATAGAAGTATAAAGATAGGACAAGACAGAGTCAAAATATGGCAACCCTGTGAAAATGCCTCTGTTGTTACGATATCATAACAACATAGCTACCAATGTTAACTGATTTGAACCGCTAAGGCAATATGCAAATTTTTGGAAAGGTCTATGGAATATTATTTTGAAACCCAATATGTGGATTTTTCAAATTTTTAATTGTCATTCGTTTCTGTAATTATGGTTTTTATATTAACATGTCTCTGCCATGAGCTGTTACTCTATGTATTGTAGACACACACCATTTGCTCAAAATGCATTTTGTCTAGTCTTTACCATTTTAGGTCTTTGACATTGCAATGTATGTTTAACTTAAAAAGTTTTTTACCTATTTTTTTAAATAACTCCTGGGGAGAATATCCCAGACAAAAAACAAGAGAACTGATGAAGATAGGTGGGTCTTTCCGAAACCTAGGTTTTCCCTGCCTTACTCCATGGTAAACATTACCATCTTTCTCTGCTAATAAATAAAGGTTGTTTTTATAAAAAGAACAATAATGGGATTAAGCCTAACTATTTTGCAACAACAAAAGAACAAAATATCTTCATTTAAAATTTTGAAAACCACTAACGTAATATTTGCACTTTCGGAAGGTTCTAATCCGTTCCAAATTTATACTAGGTCATTGTACAATTATTACAAAGTCTCGGGAAATCCCAACCGAATTAACTCAAATACAAGTAAAAAAGCTGTAAGTCCGGCCGGGCCGAATTTTAAATATCCTCCATCATTTGGAACGAATTTGGCAATTTTCAAAAAAAATAAAATTTTGTTAAAATCTTAAAAATACCATATTAGGATCTAAACGACGACGTGGACCTGCATAGCCAACTTTTGTCATAAGCCACCACAATATTCAAATGCGAAATCGGTGAATAATGTAGCTAAAATTATCAATATAGGTAGGTACTATTATATGGGGGCTATACGAAGATGTGGAGCTGCACAGACAATCTCCTGTCATAGGCTGTAGTATTCATTACGAACTTCAAATACCAAATTTAAAACACATCCAGTGAATAATGTCTTCTTCATGTCGTTCGGAAGCTAGAGTGATTTCCACAGACGGACATCGCTAAATCAACATAGAATTTTATGCTGATCAAGATTTTATATACTTTGTGGGTCAAAAATGTATATTTCGAGGTGTTACAAACGGAAAAACAAAGTTAATCAAGAAACATTGGTGCAATTGACAGTTCAGGATTGTGTTTTCACACTTCTATGTTGCTCCATTGACGTGTACAAATTCTACACATATATATGCGAATCCCAATAGTGAAAATAGGTTAGTTGAAGTTACTTCATTTTTATAAAAAAAAAAAAACACTTCAGATTTTGCATAAATTTATGCAACAGGCAGCATACACATCTTCAATATTTATTTTTCTTCAATTATTCATGATTGGAGGAATTGCCGCACCAGGAAAAGGCTTTCCGTGAGAATAGAATTTATGATTGGGCTGCAGATATAAAAATATATCTCCGTTTGATTCCATAATAGAGCTAGCTAGCAGTGAAAATTGCCACAGCGCTAAATTAAATAATAATAATTACAAATAACATGAATCTATTAAAATATAATATGTAAACTATGTTTAAAGGCCTGTCAACAATAACAAGATAATAAACCCCATATACAGACATACATACAAACGTACATATTTATTTTCCATCATTCCAAATCATTTTTGAAAATCTCAGTCCAAAATGTTGCTATAATTTCTGACAACGAATAACAACTAAAACAACAACAACAATGATAACATTTGTTATTGTCAAGTCGAAGAAAAAAAACATTTATTTATAACAAAAATAAAACCAAATATATTATTTTGAATAACTTTCTAAGATTGAAGTGAGATTCTACGTACGCATACGGGAATTATGACGTCTAATCCCTCGCTGTGGCTGCTCTGCAGTAACGGAAAGGTAAAGTTCGTTTTCCATTTTTCATTGATTGCAATTCGTGGAATAGTGATCGGAGATCGGATTTTCACAGTCAATAAACGCCAGCCACAACAAACGTCACCGTCACCGTCGTCGTCGTAACGAACTCGTCTCTTCCATGCGGACTTATCAGCAGCCTTCTCCAAAGTTCACGTATAATTTTCCATTTTGACCAGTTCTAAGTGCTTTTCCATCACGCATCGCAACATTCTTAAGAAGTTGTGTAGAAGATGTCCAAAAAGAGAACTCTCGTACATACGCACACACACACACAAACGAAGAGATAGTCCATCTTCGAATGAATTCTAGCACCGGCGCACATTTTGCGCAGTGTATCGATTGCTGATAACCTTACAATTCGAACTTCGGGCAGGCAGTCTTAACGGTCGACAATGATACGACACACGGACTGTATTGGTGGCTGAGTCAATGGGCGTGTAGTGTGCGGTGGTGAGTGAGCGGAGTGTGGCAGTGAGCAATTGTAGAGTCAGCTTGTTTCTTCAAGCCAACACCATGTTCAGCATTCGTATTTTTCCTGAATGCGCTGTAGTATTGAATCCTCCTTATCACTGCTGCTATGCTTTTACGATGATTGTTGTTGTCAATTTTTTTTAGAATCATATTCTGAGTCTTCAGCAATCTCAATTTATATTCGTTTGAGTTTGGCGAATAGAAACGGTAGAAAGTTTTGAGACTAGATTATGAAAATTGTTCTACCCCACAACGATTGACAACGGGCATCTGTCTGAAATTGAGGTTTAGTCTTCAGTGAACCGTTGTCGGAAAAAAGTTGCGAGAATCTTCGGTCTTCATATATTCGAAAATTCCGATTTCAAAACATAACGTTTAGCGAAATTGGTTGGAAACGTGTTGATTCGAAGTGACAAGTTTAAGGTTTGCGCGACTAACGATTACAAATCGAATCTATTTCACGAATGGTCCAGTCCAACACTATGCATCTGATTGTGTATTCGGTCTACTTCCTAATTGTGTTCAGTGGCATTTGCACTACTGGCTAAGCGATAATATCATAGCATCGGGCACTCAAGACCATAACAAGCGAAGTCACTTCAAGCATATATTTTTGATATAATCCGTCAGTGAGATACAAAAATAAAAATTAAAAAAAAAAAACCAACGTAAGTTTTCACAGCGAAAGATCTGGTAAAAATAATAATATAAGTAACATTATGATTTTGCAACAAAATTGTCAAAGTAGTTTTTTGAATAAAAAAAATCGAGTGTCAATGACGTGAAACAAACAAACTCCAGCTTCATCTAGTTCCGATGGATTGTGTCCATTGAAAATTTTAAAATAATTGAAATCGAAATCAACGAAAGGCAAAAGAGGGAGATTTTTTTTTTTTTTTTTGGCGACAGGCCCCCTTTTTATGATAATAAAGAAAATAGTTTAAAAAAAAACTCTAATAACTGAATATGTGGTCCTACAGCTATACGGAATACACATCTTTTTAAGTTAGATAGATGCACCATCAGCATTCAATATTCAGAAAAAGTGTTAATGATGCAAAAAAAATGCCCTCAATAATTACCTCGTCGACGCCATGCTTAAGTGATGTATAGTGATATCTACGGTTTTCCTTTAGGCTGCTTCTATATTCTTGTCAGTTGTCCGATATTTGCTCTAACTTTCAAGATTTTTAAGTATAGAGGCTAAATTTGTGTTTCCAGTTATTAAATTTATTGTTGAATAATTTTGAAACTTATAAATACATTTACAAATTAGAACATTATGTTTCGATTTAGAAATAGGATTTAGGGCCTACAAACTCAACCGTGAGAAAAAGACTACTTTATTTGTTCCATGTAATAGGCAATTATACGTAGTTGAAGGAAATATGTGTATCTGGAAAAAATAGAAAACATTAACAAGGCAAGACCGAAAAACTAAAAATCCAGCTTAGCCTGGTTGTGATTTGAACCGCACACCTCGGTGTTTAGCCAATTAGAATTTGCCGTCTCAACGTTCAAAACCATCAAACCGTGTAGGAACAGCAGCACTATAGCAGGCTCATGCATTGTAAGCAATGTAGTTGTTGTGGACAAAAAATCCATCACTACAAAAACAAGATTAGCTGGTAGAACTGGGAGGATTTCTGGTTTTTAATTTACAATAAGTTCGAAATAAATACTACTTTCCAAAGAACGGCCATCGTAAGCCATCATTCACACCAAATATGCCTAATGAGTCGCTTAACCAACGGCGAAAGACGTCGGATAGTAGTGAGTGTGTGACAATTGTCTATCTGGCTTTCGACTTCCAATGCAAATTTGAGATCATTAAGCTCGTCTCGAAGGAGAAGTAAACAAATAAAGGAAAAATTTATATTTAACAAACGAGTAAAAAGCAGCTAAGTTCGAACTTTTTATACCCTCCACCATTTGGAAGGAACTTGCAAAATGTTAAGAAAATTTCGTCGAAAAATGAAAGCCGTTATATGGGGGCTATACAAAGACGAAGTACCCATTAGAACCTGCATAAACGAAATTTAAAACAATTCCGTTGAATAATGTCGCAAATGTCATCAATATACCGAAAAAGCGGAGGTACCGTCATATGTGAGGTATACGAAGACGTGGATCTACATATGCAATTTTCCGTCTTAGGATGAAGTATCCATTACGAACTTCAAATACGAAAATGGAAACGATTCCGGTGACGAAAGTCTCTAAAATCATTAAAATTCCGAATATTGGGAAATGTCCTTGTATGGTGGCTATACGAAGGCGTGGACTTCATAAGTAATTTTTTGCCATACTTTGTAGTACCCATTAACTTTTTACAAGGGAGGGTATAAAAATCCTATAATTATTTGATTCCAATGAACGAAAGTCTTAAGTTCTTCATTTCATTCCTGACAATTTTAGACACAAATATAAATACCACCTTCAGCCAGATACAGGCTATTCCAGATGCAAATCTGTAAATATATATTTCAAAAAACGATTTGTCGAAGAGAATATCTATATATTCGATATATCGGATTTCATTAAAAAAAAAAACAAATTAAAGGTTGTTTCAAATTCTCTCATTGTGTAAACATGAAAAAAAAACTATTCAAGTTCGACTGAATCAAAGTTTTTATGCCTCCCGCCAAATGAAAACTTTAAGTATGGCCTAATCGGTTGTTCTCAAAATTCCTACAATTTGGGGATAGTGATGCATTGTATGATACTGAATATTGTAGCGCATTCAGTTTCAAAATGTGTGTTAAAAATACTAATAACCAGGGATACCGTTTGGTTTGAGCATCCTAGCCAAATTCTAGATTTACATTGAACTATTTGCGAGGTTGTGTTGCGTCCGCTTAGATATCAAAATATTATATTGAATTCATATCGACTGGGGCTAACGGCAAAATGTAAACCGAAATTAGATAGATTAAATGAGAACCCAAATTTCCAAGAACAGTTAATCCTGTTGAAAATTTGAGCTAATCTTGAATCAACAGGTTACCGCTCTATCAGCGACTCTACCAAAACATTGAGGAATGTATAATGAATTCACTATTAAAAAAATTGTTATGTAATGCCGACGTCACTCTAATCCTGTGCAAATTAAATTAAATAGGATTTCTCATCATTTATTTCAAAACCATACATACTCACATATTTTTATAATTAAAAATAAGATCACTGTCATTTGAATGTCTATCACTTATTGTTGTCAACCAACAGGTTTTCGGAAATGTCATAAGCCACGTCTTTATTATCAGAAATCAAAATTATTGAAATGACTCTAAACAGTGTATTTTAGAAGACCATCGATGTTGGTCAACTTGTTTCAATAATTCGCTTGATTTCATTCCGTTCAATTCGGTAGGCGGAAAAAAGTTTTAATAACTTCGCCCCAGGGATGCGTGGTGGAAATGAAATGTCAATTTTTCGATTTTTTGCTTTTAAGGAAAAAATCGACTTATTATGTTCAATATATTTTTATTGAGTTTTGACCTCTGAAATCAAAGTCTTTGTAGCCTATTTCAGACTTTACATCTTCTGATATGTAGTTCTGCGAGACAATTGTTTGACTTTTTGGTCCAGAACCTGCAATAAATAATCTATCTATGTTATTGCAGTTCTGGAACAAAGAATAAAAAACCAATAATAAACGTCAATTACTTCTCCAGCCACGTTGGTACGAAAGTCTATACCTCATCCTCTTGAGAACTTCAGATGGGCAAGTACGCAATGCACATGTAATCCCGATGCATTTAGGTCGAACAAATAGTGCTTCTGTTGCCAAATCCATTACTCTCTCCAAATTCACTGTCTTCCTAGTGTGGTTTTTTGCCTCGACTATTGTAATAAAACCACTGCTGTTCGAAAAAAATTTGTCCGGACTAATCTTCAAGATATAGCGCTTTTCAATGTTCTACATATAGTTTGAGCCTTCCTTCCCTTTTTGTAATTCATAATCGCACTTGTGATAATTGCATTGGTTATACCCTCCACCATTCTATGGGGGATATATTAGCTTTGTCATTCCGTTTGTAACTCCTCGAATTATTCATGGTAGACCCTACAAAGTATATATATTCTGGATCAGCGTCATCCATCTGCTTTTTTGTTGTAATCATGCCCACGTCATCGTCCCCATATAACGGAACCTCCCGATATTCGGTATTTTAATGATTTTGCCGACATCATCCACCCGAATGGTTTCAAATGTCGTATTCGAAGCTTGTAGTAGGTACTACAGCCTATGCAAAGAAAATCGAATGCATGTTCATGTCTTTCTATAGCCTTCCATATAACTGTACTTTCCATTATTCGGTATTTTGACGATTTTAGTGACATTATTCTCCGGAATTGTTTAAAATGTCGTATTTGTATACGGGTCCACGTCTTCGTAGAGCCCCCGTAAATCATCACCACCATTTGGTGGAGGGTATTAAAAGTTCGACCCGACCGAACTTAGCTGCTTTTTTACTTGTTCTTCTTGCGCTGCACTGCATAGAGCTAGCTCATTCCACTTAACAATCGGTTTTAATCGGTGTAATGAGTTTTCCCGGTTTGATTCCTTGATTATGTCCTACAACCCGCACACCATGCAGATTGTCAATCGGTTTTCATACCTCTTGAAATAAAAAAGTTAAGCCACAAACTGCCAAGTAATTCATCTTGGATATGTTTCACCTTGGTGGCCACGAAAGTCTTCAAAGTGGATGGTTCAACTTGGCCCAGTACCATGTAATTTCTAAATCGGACCAATTAAGAGATTTTGCACATTGGCCGTCAGTATTACTCCCAACTCAGCTGAACACAGTTCTAGTCTTGATGTAGGTACATAATAACTGCATGGTAAGAATAGGACTTTTGACAGCCTCTTTACTCACCGACCAATGGTTGCATTCAACCTGAGAAGAAAGAAATATGGGGTGAAGAAAAAGAAAGCTAGCGTTGGAAAATGAAGATGGGGGCCTGGTAGACCTGCCCCCCGATATTCGGTATTTTGATGATTTTAGCGACATTATTTAACGGAATCGTTCCAAATTTGGTATTTGAAGTGATACTGCAGCATAAAACAGAAAATGGGCCATGTAGGTCCACGTCTTCGTATAGCCCCCATATACCGTACCCCCTGATATTCTGTATTTTGATGATTTTAGCGGCATTATTTACCGGGATTGTTTCAAATTTCGCATGTGAAGTTCGTAATGGATACTTCAGCCCATGCCAGAAAATTGTCTGTGGAGGTCCACGCCTTCGTATAGCCCCCATATAAAGGTACCCCCTATATTTGGAATTTTGATGATTTTAGCTAAATTATAAACAGATTTTTCTTCAAGTTTCGCATTAAAATATTGTAATAACTTATGACAAAAGTTGCCTATGCTGGTCTACGTCGTCGTATAGGCATTCGGTATTTTTAAGATTTAACAGAATTTTTTTTTTTTTTTTTTTTTTTTTTGGAAATTGCCAAATTTGTACCAAATGGTGGAGGGTATTATAAGTTCGGCCCGGCTGAACTTATAGCTTTTTTGCTTGTTTTAATTCATGAAGGGAAAATCGGTTATACGGCTAGTTGTTAGCATTTTTACATTCTTGCAGTTCTGCAACAGACAAAGTAATTGTACATTTTCGTACATTGCCATTGCTATAAACTCGACTCGACTGCTATATATTCGACTTGATATTTTGACCTGCTGTGTGGCACTTTAATCAGATTACATATTTCAACTACTGGAATTCACTTATATTTACAACAATTACATAATTTCTTTATAAAATTATTCGAATTATTGAAAACTTTATTAACCTAATCTCGAATTGAAAACAAGTATGTATATGTATGTGGTTGTGGTTGAGGTTGTAAGCAATCACGTGAAATGTGTTGTCATGTGCCAGACAATTTGCTTGAATCGATGTAGGAATCGTTTATAGTTTCGTTCATTTTCGACAGAAGGCAGGAAGCGTGACGAAGCTGTTCACGTGTGACCTCACGACTAGAACTGATGTAAATAATAAATGTTTTTGGAACAAATCGATTCAAGTGTCGAAGCTAGCTATATATTTTACAGATAGTTCTGTACATGGTACCAGAGTAAAGATGGTTTGGCTGGAGATGAATAAGAAAAATTCCAACCCAATATCTCCTATTCAAAGTACGTTCATATATCGATAACATCGGAATGTGTACGCCATTTATATCGAAATGAAGTAATAAAACTGCCAAAAAAGAGAACTTATATCCGTATTCGAATTTTTGCGATGGTCATTCATTGTTTCAATACTTTCAATAATAAAATGAAAAATAAGAAAGCAGCTAAATTCGGCCGGGTCGAATTTTAATACCCTCCACCATTTGGACTGGACTAGAAAATTTTCAAAAAAATTCGAAAACTACCACATAAATGAAAGTCCGTATAAAATTTTGGGATAAATTTGTTGGAATAACCCCAAATTCCATTCTTGTTTCGCGGGTTTTTCCCAATATAGGAATTTGGTTAAAAAAGGTTAAAAATAAACAAAGCCAACTGATGCATATTTAAAAGTCTATTTGGCACTATAAAACTCCAGCATAGAGTTGTATTTTTCTAATTTCTTTGAAGTAGTACCCATAAGGATCTTCCAAAAGGAAATTTGAAACGATTCCGGTGAATAATGCTGCTGAAATCATTAAAATACCGAATATCGGGAGGTACCGTTATATGGGGGCTTTACGAAAAAGAGGAACGACATGGACCCATGCATGTATGGAAAATTTAAGCCTTCTATCTCAATTCCTTCGAAAGATATCGCTAGATCGTTTTATAATTTTACGCTGATACAGAATACAGGGTGTTATAAAAAACTGCAACATAGTCAAACGCTACAAGTTTTATTTTTATTTTTTTTTTTTAATTTTATTGAAAGAAAGCAAAAAATGTCGGAAATAGCATCAAATTTTAGAATAAGTTCAAGTTTTTTCGAATTGGTCACCTTTGGAAAGAATTTTGGCCTTCAAGCGACCAATGAAACCATCACACGTGATCGAATGTTGCTCTGCGATATTTTAGCCCATTCCCGGCGAAGCGCTTGCTTGAGGTTATCCACACTTTGCTATTTTTTAGTGCCAATCTTGCTTTCCAAAATACTCCAGACACAATAGACCAACGGATTGGTATCCGGAGATTTTGGTGGTCATTGTGCGCTGGAAATGAAGCGAGGAACTTCATTTTGTAACCATTCTTGGGTGGCGCGTGCTGAGTCCTGTTGGAATGTCCAAGGTGTGCCCACCCCCCAGAATATTTTCGCGAAACCGAGGGTGCACATTTTCAGCTGACCTCTTTGGCAAGTAAACACGATAATTTTTTTTTTTTTTTTTTTGTTTACAAACGGCTGGATAACGAATGTTTTGTCATCGGAGAAAATCAAATTCGGCAGTTCACCACCTTCGGCCAAGCGAAGCAGCTCTTTAGAGTCTACTTTCTTTCTGCTGCAGTGTAAGTTCTTTCACTTCAGTTGGAATTTCAATGAGCTGTCACTGGAATAATTTTAACAGCTGTCGGACTTCAGTCTGCAATTGGTTGCAGTTTTTTCATCTCACCTTGTATATATACTTTGTAGGGTTATCATGAGAAGTTACAAATGGAATACCCTCAATAGAATGGTGGAGGATATAAAAACTCGCAGATCATATACATACAGATACGAAATATTATCTATAGTGAACATTTCATACGTGCTCTGTTCCCGAACCTGCAATTGATTTTAAGAATATTTTTCGAATATTTTCTGGTCTGCGGTTCTCGCTCTCCACATCATTTGTTGTTGCGTATGTTTCATACGCAATGACTTGAGCTTGAAGCATAATGTTTAAAGCACTGTTCTTATTCATTTTCATGACCTTAGTTCTTCAGGAGATTATTTCTTAAGTTGACTTCATGGACACCTTGTGCTCAGACGTGTAACATTGTCATAGAAGAGTTTACAGATGCAAATTTGGTTTTCTATCCCTGCCAAGATGACCAATATTTTTATTAATATCCAGTAACAATGGTCCATCATTTACTATTTTGTTGGCGCCCAATTGAACAACAATGATTTACAATGTGAAAGGTTGAAATATATTCTGGATCTGGCTTTCAAGCGAAATTATTAATAGGATTATTGTATTTATTGCGTTTTTATTATGTAAAATAAGGGCCAGTTAAGGTACGTCGAAGGAAAATGCAAGTGGGAGAAAAACACCAAAGCAAACAAGCCATCACGCTGTATTTTGGTAGTTTGACTCATGGCGAATCTATCCTTCGGAATTCTAAATATTCGAAGGCTTCCATCCTTAAATAATTTCCCATTCTAGTACAAGTCTTAATAATCTTTCAGCTTTCCGATAGTTAAATTACCGTGTAACGACATCACTCCATTAATAAATCCCCTTTTAATAGCTACACTTATATTTTCAGATAAAAGTTGATCACGCCGATAGTGAAGACGAGGTGAACAAAAATCCCAAATTAAGAACAACAGAGAATTTTTGGAATCGAAAAATGGCTTTAGACTTCTTGGCTGGATGCATTGGAGGTAATCAAGATCATCTCTGTTTAACTAAAAAGAGAAGCTACCAGTTCATGCTCTTTTTACACTTTCAGGTTGTGCCGGTGTACTGGTGGGACATCCTTTAGATACGGTCAAAGTTCATTTACAAACCCAAGATCCTAGAAATCCCAAATACAAAGGAACATGGCACTGTATGCGCACCATTGTGGCACAGGATAAATTGAGCGGCTTATATCGGGGCATTACAAGTCCAATGGGCGGCATTGGATTTGTCAATGCCATTGTGTTTGGCATCTACGGCAATGTTCAGCGTTCCAGGTCGGACCCCGACTCCTTGACGTCACATGCCTTAGCCGGGGGAGTTGCTGGACTATTCCAAAGTATTGTTTGCTCGCCCATGGAGCTGGCCAAGACAAGACTGCAGTTACAAAACGATTCGACGCCGGGCAAAAAGTTTAAGGGACCGTTGGAGTATCTTAGGCACATAGTCAAGTACGAAGGTCTGCGTGGAACGATGAGAGGTCTCATGTTCACAGCGGCCCGAGACATTCCAGGTAAATCTGCTATGCTTTGGGATAGAGCAAAATATTCAATAATGGTTGGTCCGATTTTATTTTCTAGGGTTTGCCAGTTATTTCGTGAGCTACGAATACATGATGCGTCAGCCCACCCAACCAAATGTCATCTACGGTCTTTGTGCTGGTGGCCTGGCCGGCATATGTTCCTGGTTGGCCACCTATCCCATAGATGTCATCAAAACCTGCATCCAGGCGGACGATATGAGGAATCCCAAATACAATGGATACATGGACTGCATCCGAAAGGGCTACAGCAGCGACGGTGTGCGTTTCTTCTTTCGCGGCATGACATCGACTCTGATACGCTCGTTTCCCATGAACGCTGCCTGCTTCTTCGTTGTCTCGTGGATCATGAGCTGGACCAAGAAGCAAGACGTCGACGTTGTGGTCCATACTGGCGATACAATGGCCCTGGTTGGTGTGGCCGCCAGTGCACCGATGTGTCACGTCCACCACATCGATCACCACGACGAGCAGCTGCGCGAGCAAAGGTCACTCATCGCCAAGAGTCTGCGCTCGTTCGGTGCATTTAACGAGGCTGTGTGTCACACAGAAGTGGAAGAGATGGTCACGGAATTTTATCCGGACAAAGAGAAGTACTACATTTTCGAAGACGAACGACTGTTAATTGGCCCCACAGACAGTCCAATCCATTGTTAAGTAGGCTTAGAAGCAAAGCACAACCAAAGTTACTATTTAGTTAGCGCTTAAGTTAGTTTTTAATTAGGAATATTGCTCAAGGGCAAATAAAACAATGAAAACATACATCCATACATCCATACATCCGAATAAAAGAAAAACATCGTTCTAAGGGGAAACTTAAAGTTTCCAAAGAAAATGTGGGATTTTCCTCTTCTCTTAATATTTGTAGCCAATCTTAAGATGCTCAAATGAAAAACATTTAGCCATTTTAGAGAATTCAAGGTGGACCAAACTTTCCCCGTTCGGTCCGACATCTGATCGACAGTTAAATGGAGTGGTTGACGTGTTGTCGAACCTTAGGGTCGGATGAAAGTCAGATGTTCTGGCCGACTTTCTAACCGAAAGCGGACCGAACTCGCAAGGATATTCAAGGCGAATTCGGAAGGGAAATTAGAGTTGTCGAAGCTATTTCGTACCGAACTCGGAAGTAATATGTAACTCGATTCGAAAGTTGTATTCGATCCGCATTCAAACTCTTATTATGTAACAGTTTCGAATCGATTAAAAAGTGCGAGTGTATTATTCAGAATTGGCAACAAACAATGAATTCGGTTGTTCTTTTGTCGCAAGCTCTTCATTTGCAGTAAATTTAATAAGCTTTCTTCAAGGGCAGAGCATGAACAAATTTTGACCGGCCAGCGGTTCTTTCACAATATATGCCGCCTTGTTCCCCCCATGGTTGTCCGGATGCATTGAGGTATGTTGCCAATTGTGCCCATAAATTATTGTTGGCTTGTTTAGCGTCCTGTGTTTTTATATAGGCCTTTGCTAACTGGGGATGATCCGTCATAAAATTGAGTATTGTCTGAAATTGGCTCGCTTTGTATTGATCCTCCATCATGAAAAAGAGGGTATATTAAATTTTTTTCATTCCGTTTGCAACACCGTCTAATTTTCGTCGTAGAACCCATCAAATTGTGATATCACTATACAGCCCACATTATTGGACGTAAAGATATTTAGCACAATAGTTTGTAGGATGGTTGGTACTGAAAATGGGGCATATCGACCCGGGTTTTTGTATAGCCTCCATATAATGGCAACTACCGATATTTGATATTTTTCCACAGAATTGTTCCAAATATGGTATTAAGAGTTTATAATGGGTTCTACCACTGGTGGCAGAACATTGTCTATATAGGTCCACGTTTAAATATAGCGCACATATAACGGTATCTCCTGATATTCCTCAGTTTTTAGTATTTAGGCCACATTTTCTATCGGATTTATTTAGAATTCGGAATTTTAACGTTCGGTATTAAAACATTGTTCTAATTGACCCGCGGTTTCGATAGAACGGTACCCAGCTATATTCGGCATTTTAATTATCTGGGCTACATTTTCCACTGAATTGTTTCACACGTGGTATTGAACACTCGCGAAAGATAACAAACCTATATAGGTTTTCGTTTTGGTATGGCGGTTCAACCCACTCTATTATACCCTCCACCATAGCATGGAGGGCATATTAAGTTTGTCATTCCGATTGTACCACCTCCAAAACACAAAGTATACATAAATATATTCTTGATCAGCATAAAATTCTATGTCGATTTAGCGAAGTCCGTCCGTCCGTCTGTGGAAATCACTTTAGCTTCCGAACGAAATGAAGTAGGTTGATAACATTTTACTCAAAAGTATATTATGTGTGCAGGACCCGACATAGGAAACTATATATGGATCCTCCTATCTTGCCGAGCTGAGTAGATCTAACATTGTATCTCCGCCCGTCCGTCTGTCCATGTTAATTTGTAATCAAGCTACAGCTTTCAATTATGGCCTGATTCTCACGAATTTGAGAATAGATATGGGGTTAAGGTCAGAGTAGAAGTCCGTCTGTGGAATTCACTCTAGCTTCCGAACGAAATGAAGTAGCTTGACGTTTTGGTATAGCCCTTATATAGCGGTTCAACCCACTCTATTATACCCTCCACCGTAGTATGGAGGGTATACTAAGTTTGTCATTCCGTTTGTAAAATTCTATGTCGATTTTGCGATGTCCATCCGTCCGTCTGTGGAAATCACTTTAGCTTCCGAATGAAATGAAGTAGATTGATAACATTTTACTCAAAAGTATATTATGTCTGCAGGACCCGACATAGGAAACTATATATGGATCCTCCTATCTTCCTACCGTCCGTCTGCCCATGTTAATTTGTAATCAAGCGACAGCACGCAATTGTGGCCTGATGTGGTTAAGGTCAGGACGATTTAAACGACATTTTTCAACGGAAATATTTTAAATTCGATATTTGAAGTTCGTAATGAATACTACAGCCTGTGACTGAAAATTGTCCGTGCAGGTCCACGCCTTCGTATAGCCCCCATATAACGCTCCTACCGATTTTCGGTATTTTGATGATTTTAACGACATTATTCATCGGGATTGTTTCAAATTTGGAATTTGAAGTTCGTAACGGATACTACAGCCTATGACAGAAAATTGTCTGTGCCGGTCCACGTCTTCGTATATTACGGTACATACCCTGTATTTTCATGATTATTGCGACATTATTCACTGGAATTGTAACAAATTTTGTTTTTAAAGTTCCTAATGGGTACTACAGCCTTCGTATATTCTCCATATAACGGCATTTAAGTAGTAGTTTTCGGTTTTTTTTTTTTTTTTTTGAAATTTTTCAAGTTCCTTCCAAGTGGTGGATGGTATTAAAAGTTCATGTCGGCCAAACTTAGCTGTTTTTTACTTGTTGTTTATAACACATTTTAACTGCCTTCCCCAACCGATCTCACTTGTATTTTCAGTGCAAAGTGGAACACGTTTTAATCTTTGCACTTGTATTTAAAAACATATTTTTTAGATAATGATGGAGGGTATTGAAATTTCGGCCTTGCATTTTTACATTTATCAGCGTTTTATGTAGTTTTTTTTTAATTCCAATAATTTTTTCCGTTTTTATTCGTATCCGTTAGGTAAATGTCAAACGAGTAGGAATGTCAACTTTCGAACGACTTTGACTTCTAAATTCGAAGTAGTAAATAGTAAATTCGTACTCGGATATGGCAATCCGAAAGTAGGAAATATGTTTGCGATTTCGAGTTAGTTGGTAAGAAAATATATTACTTTCGCATCGAGTTACATAGTAACCCCTTAGAAGAACATTTGCAACATCTGTCATAGTGCAATGACAAAAGAAAATAGCAATAACAGTCCACGGCTCTTCAGCAATATCTGTGGAATGTGTATAATAATGCAGAACATCATGGAAACATGGAATAATGTTCATCTAAAAACGTTTACCTTTAGTAATATCCCAACATAACAAAATGTCTTGAGAATAATATTGTAACAAGCTTAAAAACATATGCACTAAGCTGGAGAAAAACTTGAGAATGTACTGAGAAATGCTTTTCAACCAAATAGAGAATAATAAAAACTAAACTCTTATTTATAAGCTTATTCTTGTAACTTTTCCTATTCCCATGGTACAATGAAAAGGTAAGGCAGAGCTACCAGCTGATTACATTTATTTTTTTTCTAAGTGTGCCCAACTTCTGCTAATTTTTTGTATGTATTTATTGTTTTGAAAAATAAAAACAAAATATTTTCAAAATTAATAATTGGAAGACGCGAATTGCGGGACGCGCATTGAAGATATTCCCCAGTTTTGCCATGGATTTGAAAGATCAAACTGTTTAAATCTTATTTTTGAAAGAAAATCAAGACATTTAATTCATTTTTTGCGCTATTTAACTCATTTTATAAAAATAACTTGTGGCATGCCAATTTGACAGGTAGCGGGCATGTTGTACCATGCCTATTCCTAAGAAAATATTAATGTAATACTAAGCTTATTTGTTTAATAATTCAAAAAGTCCATTTCTTAAATACTTACTAATTTCATTTCACTCCTCCTCCTCCCTCTAACTCCTTTTGTTACACTTGGTCCATTTCGACAGCTAAAAAATACCATCTGAAATCCTGAAAAATCAAGAAAATTATACTTTCAGTCTGAAGTAAAATTATAGTTATACAAACCACAGACCCCCTTACCATAAGACAGTAGTTGCAAATATATAAATATAAAAACCACAAATTTCTCGCCAAATATATTTCTCAAAAATGCAAAACAAACGACAGATTTGAGGAAAATCTCTTCATCAAAAGTGTTTCTCAAGCAATGTTTAAAGATTGCTAAGACTAACTATTAATAATAATATCGTTCTCAAGCTGTATTATAGTGTTATTTATTTTTGATATACGGGGATGTCTTAATTTATATGTTAGTGATGGTACGAAATGGTACGAGTATTAAAATCTGGTACCAATAAAAGGTAAACATTTACTCACGTCATAAAAAACAAGTAAGCAAAGGCTACAGTCGAGCGGGGCCGACCGTTGAATACCCTACAACACTATAATAAATGATACAGTTTATATAGGCCAGATACTCGAAAAAATTCTACAAGATATTGTGACAAATAATAAAAGAAAACCATCAGGTTTCGTTCTCTAATTTTCGAATAATAGAAACTTGAACTAATTTGCTCATTTCCAATTTATTGGTAGATGTTGCACGTAAATGGTCTTCCTAGATCTGGAACCAATATTTCCCAATGACCTATAATCTCTCAGAAGTGGCAAAAGATTAACATTTATTATTGGTTTTTGACTGAAACGCATCTATATGAGATACAGACATTTGACTATATTCTTCAACGAAATCAGCGTTAACGAAATAGCCAGAAGTGCGTCTTTCCTGTATTTGAGATTTCCAAAAAAATCACTGGAATTGACATTTTCGTACTTTGTCTACAAAAGTTGGCAAACTATTTCACACATTGAATATTTTTAGATGGCCATCCAAAACTGCTTGGCTTTTGCAATGTCCGGAAACCCCCATTCAAATGTGCGTGAGGATCGGGCGATAATTACGACCTGCTGACAATTTTGCAGTTTTTTGGTCCATTTCAACCCCTAAATATATGACGATCATCTCCAAAAAGAGTAGGCTTCTACTCTGACCTTCATCCTATCCACATGCAAAATTTCGTAAGGATCGGGCCATAAATGCGATCTGTATATGATATCCTGATATCCTAAC